AAAAAAATAGTTCAGTCATTTAGCTGATTTAGACTCAATGTAACAAATTATTTTCTAAACACGATTATCTACAAATACAGCAAGCTGCCTTAAGAGTTCTGTATCATTTGAGATAGTCAAGACAAAGCTACATATTCATTGGCCATAATTACTGTAAAAGGCACTACTGCTCTGTTTGCAAGATTAGACAAGATCACTGTAAGATAGTAATCACCAGCTTCACCACTGAACCACTCTGGTTCTCTGATGCTTCTGGAGTTACACTTCTGAAGACATCATTGTGGTTCCTGACATCATTACATTTTAACAAACTAAAAAAATTACTCCTATAGAATCCAAAATAAATAGACTCTTATTTGAAAATTATTTGTGATTTCAGTTAAATGTACTCCAGAAACACAAATGATCTGTGTGTCTATATGTTAAAACTATTACTGCACTAATATCTTCATTAAAGACAGCAATAATTAGACAGAGAAAATGATGTCATTAACTCTGAAAAAGAGGGTTCTTTAAAATCACATATGGTAAGTGACATGGTTTGACTGGGTCCCCACCCAAATCTTGAATGCCCAAGTATTGTAGAAGGGTTCTGGTGGGAGGTAATTGAGTAATGGGGGCAGGTCTTTCCCATGCTGTTCTTGTGATGGTAAATAAGTCTCATAAGATCTGATGGTGCTATAGGGGGGAGTTTCCCTGCACAGGCTCTCTCTTTTTGCCTGCTGCCATTCATGTAAGATGTGACTTGCTCCTCCTTGCCTTCTGCCATGATTGTGAGGCTTCCCCAGTCATGTGGAACTGTAAATCCATTAAACCCTTTTTCCTTATAAATCACCCAGTCTCAGGTGTGTCTAATACAGTAAGCCATGTCCCAAACCAAATATCCATAAAGAATATGGTAGTTCTAATTATAATTTATGTTAGTATACTGTTTTCAATTTGAAATCAAAAGCTCTTTATACTGTGTCTATAAATCAATCTTACAAATTAAAATAAAACATGAATGGTGCAAAAGTTTGACAGTCACTTTATAATACTTACAGGAAACGTTTCTGTAGATTTGGTAAATAAAGTTAAATTTATTTTAACATTAAGTTCCTCCTTTTTCCTTTTATGATTGTTTTATAGTATTGTTTTATGTTTAGCTTCAGTTTTAGGAGAGAAAAATAAAACATCTTAGCATACCATATACAGTAACTTAAATTCTATGATACTATAGAAAATGACTGATTTTCCTAGCCTTTTTATCTTTCCATTTCTGTATGAAATAACAAAACCCACTGATATGGGTATTTGTGATCCACTATGCTAAAAAGCCCTGTCGTTTCTTGGTCTTTTTTATTTCATGACTGTTGTGAGCCAGATGGAAAATAGGATAAAGACATGAGAATTATTGGGCAGAACAATGGGTTTGAATTATAAAACTGAACAGTTAGGAGGGGCAGGGAAATAAGGAAAGAGAAGGCGGAATGGAGACAGGTAAAAATGCAGTGAGCATGTTCAGAAGACAGTTTGCCAGTGGAGTCACAACTTACCAAGAATCACTATAGACAATGTCAAGGGTTAACCCAATTTAAATTCAAGCATTTATCCTTTGTGTTACAAACAATTATACTCTTTTAGTTATATTAAAATGTGCAAGTAAATTATTATTGGCTGTAGTCACCCTGTTGGGAAATTACATACTAGATGTTACTCATCGAAGCCTTGTTTTTAAAGTTAAAATCTCAGATGATTCTCCCCTGTGTTTTCTGATTCACTGTCCTGCACTCTAAATGGCCATCAACTCAGGAATAGAGATTATTGAGCCTCCAAGAACTACCTAATGGAGCAGTTATATAACTACCATTGGTAGTTATTCCAATAAGTTACTACTCATTTTGGTTTCCATTACATTACAGTTTTTTGATATGATTATTTGAACCTAAAAGTGTAATGTAGTTTGGTTCCTAAGAGTTTATTAACAGAAGACAAGTTTTAACTTATGAACAATAGGTGCTGGGAATTAGTTTGTGTTACTTAAAAATGTGAATTGAATTGTATCTCATTTAGAATGAGGGATTTGTGAAAGCCAAATATAGTCACATTATCTGTAAAAAGTGTGAATGGCTGAACAATTACTCAAGAAACATGATCCATAGTGGCAACAAATATAACTGCTGTTCATAAGACTTTGCTTTTCTATAAAGTGTTGTGACCTGTCTTACCTACAGTTTCTTTCCCCTTTTTTGCATTTATATATGCTCCCTAAAAATATAGATTATGTAAATTTCTCTAATTTCTTATTAGTTATAAATCTGAATTAGAACAAAAATAACAAGCATTCCTGCTACTGAAGAAGTCAGACTTATTTAAAAGTATGATTTTTGGGGGCAAAGGTATAAATAAGGTGAATTTATTCTATATATTGCTGTACTATTTTATTTCAAATATAGTAATGCATAAAGTTTAAAATTAAATGTGCTTTCCATGTAGATTAATACTATCCATTTCATCTTTGTCAAGTAGAAGTAATTGGTTGGCTCAGTACAATCCAGTCCGACCGAGTAGCTCTGTTGTTTTTCAGAAATGGGAGAGATTGAAAGTTTAAAAAGCATTCATCATCAGGAGAATTTGTTTTAAAAGCTTCCAAGCTCCCAAACAGCCAGTAGATAAATTACCCACTATTCAGAGAAGGAGAGCACAATTAGTTTTACATTATGCTAAACCAATCAGCTCCGTAAGTGACTATGTTTCTTGAGAAAAAAGCAATATGAATGTCATAGTTTGTCCTCTTTCTCCCAGGCTTTACAGCCAACAGTAAGCCTTTTCTCATACTAGAACTTTTATGGAAAGCTTTGTGAATATGTTTTGCCACTGTTTTTAGATAAGGAGAAATATATTCATGACTTGTAACCATATGGTTAATAATACCTGCTTCACAATGCAAAGTCAATGAGGTTTTTGTTTTATACAAATGCTTTGAAGCTTTATGGTGAGAAGAAAGACTTCAATAAATTATTTTCAAACCTACCTTTCTTCCTCCAACAATTATTTTTATGTAATTATTTACAATTAAGAAGCAAAGGAAGGTGTAAGAAAATATTATACTGGGGGTAATGAATTATGCACAAAAAATCAGCAGGTTGTTTTTTTCATCTTAACAAAGTAAATATTTACTAAACAGCCATTACCTCTTTTGACACATGCAGGATGGTGTAAGAATGTACCAAATTCATGTCAACTGCCATGACTTAACCTGGAGAAATACCATGACTAGTAAACTTTATATACACAGCTGCTGCAGTATTTTTCGCATTTTCCATTTATAATAAGAAAGTGATCAATGGAGGCCTTAGAGGAAAGAGTGCAATTACAATCATATAAATAGCCTTATTTCCTTTTTGCACACAAGTGAATCTATCAAAATTCAAACATTGTATTACCTTATTTTACTATATCAGTGTTCACCTATGGGTTACTTGTATTTTATTTTTTAAATTATTCATTCTCGTATTGATAATTGATCATTGTTGATATGTGCATGCAGATCATATACAAAACTTCCTTTACACCACACAAAAAGTAGTCTACTTATGTTGTATAATAAGTTCGAACCTTTGTGACTTAAGTACCAAATGGACTCTTCCCATGCACATAAACACAACCTGGAACTGCATGAGAAACACATTTGAATACAGCTTTCGTTTTTCAAAATTCATATATATGTGATCAGTGTAGAGTATAAATTGAGTAAGGAGAAAGAGAGGGAGGAGAAAAGGAAAAGGCAGTGAGGGAGAGAAACAGAGAAAGATAATATATCAAAATACAGTGTCAAAATGTACTTACGTCTTATTCATGAAAGTTTCTTTCCTAGGAATATAAGTTTTTAAATGTGTTTGACTGTAGAAAAGACTATTAAGTGGGTATGTTTCATTTTTAGTTCAGTTTAATTTTTCTTCTTTTTTTCATGTTAGACAGGTAATGTGCCAACATCATAACAAGGTTTGAAGGAGGCACATCTCACATGTGAGTGTGAAAACGCAATCATCATGTTCACTGAGTCTCTTTCAACCAGTAGTCTTGGCCAGCATGAAATCTGGGGGGCTGCAAACTTCCAAAGAAATTCTCACCACCCATTTGCCATACTCAGTCTTTTTCATAATCTTTGTATCATGGACTTCAAATCTTTAGTAAATAAAGTCAAGTTACCTAATTCTCTGGCTACTTATAAAAGGCCAACATGTCCCATCCAGACTGATGCCTTGATTTGCATGTCTTTGACTCTTAAGATATATACAGATTTTCTGTCTAACCCCTAAGACCTTTGAAGTTGATGGGATAACAGTAGGTCTAATATTTTTATCTAAATATAAAGCCCTGGAACTTGATAGGATTCTAGATAAATACATGATTTTCCCCACTGATAGAGTCTTGCATTATTTTATCTTCATATTCAATTTCAATCAGTTCTTCAACCAATTGAATTTGGGCTCTTACATAATGCTTCAGACTCGTGGTTGCACCATGAAGTCTTTAGATGTTTCTGATTTTCTTTTGCAACCAAGATTGTGAAATGCAGATCAAAGACCTGTATTGGCTTTTTTTCCTATCCCAGATGCATAAGGCTTAGGACTGCACTGTTCAAAGGTAAGTATCCTATGGTCATTCTTGATAGGGGCAACAAAGATTCATGAGTAATTCAAATTTCTTTCCCTAGCCTAGAACTTTAAGTGGTTCCTACTTTGACTTAGACAAGAACTCAAGCTGAAAATAATTGCTGACCTCAGGCAGTAAATTAGCTGGATTTTAAAAAAATCGTAACACTCCATAAATGAAAACAGTTATAGAATTGCCTAGAACAAAGGACCTAAGAACCTACCATCAGAATTATTTGTTCTAAATATCTAATTCTTCCTTTTTTCTTCTCCTGATTTAACCTTAAAATCTATCAGTATATGCATGCTATCAACAATGAAACACAAATCTCTGTATTTAAACATTTTTTTTTATTTTCTCAGTTTCTACAGATAAAGTGATCTGAAATAACGCATGATGCCGCAAAGCAGAAGAGAAACTGTGACAACCCCCAGAAATGTGAAAGGAGGTTTCTTACTGGACAGCAGCATCTTTGGTTCAATTTATATAAAAATCCAAATAAATAAAATGGACAGTATTGCTCAATTTTAGAAATTCCATTTCTTCTATGTTTTAAGCTGTACAATTGTCAGGTTTTTATGGTTTAAATTGTAAATGTGTTTTCCCCTTTGCTAATTATGTTTTTTTTTTTTAGTCTTAAAATGTGAAAGGCATTTATGAATGGTAAGGGAGACACTATATACAAATGTATATTTGTAAAAGCTATTTTTATGATTAGCATGTTTCACTGTTGATCATATATAAAAGGTGATATTGCAATTCTGTATTTAAAGCTTATTTCCAACAATGTCATGTAAGAAAATATGCATCTTATGCTAGTTTTTATAATTTATTTTTAATTTATAGTTTAAAGTACTTGAGATCATAATGATAAAATACTTGAAAAAGTTATATTTCTGCCCTGTATAAGCACCCTTTCTATTAATAAAGAATGCAGATATTTCAGATGTGATATAATAGTTAAAGAACTGTTGGTTTGATCTGTGATTAAGTTGAGCATGCTCCGCTCTACAGAACTAAAGTGATCCAATTATTACTTCAGTCTGGGTATGAGATTCCATGGACAGGTTTTAGTGTTCATACAAGTAAGGACTAAATTGCCAAGGAAAAGACTTGTCTTGCCCTTGGATCCAAAAGTTTAAATTAGTGCATACTCATGTCATTTCACCTCCTGTTCCTAGGAACTCTCCATTCCCAAGCATTGCAAGTGTTTTCCAGATAATCTTAGCTGTTGTCTTGTGCTGTGGAAATGGAAGAAACCATCTTCACAGACTGTAGGAGAATTCAACATATAATTTCTTAATAAATACTGTTTCTTTTAAAACAAAGTTGGTGTGTATCTTTCCTTTGGGGTACATTTAGCTTTAATATTCAGTTTGAACTTTCTCAGTCACTGTGCTACCACAAAATCATCACCATAATGAAAGTAGCGTATTTTTACCAAAGCATGCATTATAGGTTCTACATGCCCATACCCTCTTGGGAGTGACCTGTATTCTGGAACATGATAATTTTCCATGTAAAAGAAAGCCAGATGGCCTTCAAACCTTGACAGAAGTCATACTCCAGTTTATATTTTAGGAAACTATATTTTTCCTCCAAATACAGAATTTTAAGAAAATATTTCAGAATACTACTGAAGACGAAACTAGTTCATCGGGAGGTATTTATGTTCTGCCAGACTTAAAGTCTGTACCTAAATGACTACAAGTTCCTCATCAAAGAGCACAGAGACAACATCTACAAATGTCACCAAGGACACTTAGTAAGATTAAGCCCTTCTTTTTTCAAAGAAACTGAGGAGAGTCTAAAACCGCCTTGTTGTGTGTTCCCTTAATTTTCTATTTAATTTCTTTAAGGTAATTTATCTTATTTCTCTTTTGAAGCCAAGCTAATGAAAAACGATGCCATTTTATCCAACAAGAGGTATTAAAAACCAAAATTCTGGACAAAGAAAAAGAATTACAACTCTAATATTAAATAACATGAATACACTAAATTTTCCTACTTAAAGTCTGTAGAAAGTTGCACATAGAACCCAGGATCTGGATCAAGAATGTACTTCCTTTTCAAGGAACTGCAAAAACCATACCGTGGTGCACTGTTAACTATTTTTGATTACCAAAACAGTCATGGGAGAATTTGTGACCGCCAGAATAGACTCTTGAAACTGAAAATAACCTGCATATGGTTCTATATAAAATCAGCAGGGTGGCTTCTTGGTTTGCACCACATAGATGAATTTGCTAGGAATAATCTGATACTCCAGAGAGAAGTGTTGCAGGCACTGTGTATTAGAAAATTATGTATGTGAATATTTTTCCCAATTTGTCATTTGTCCTCATAGTGTTCAATAAATAGTGCGGCATTTATAATCCAGCATTATCATAAATTATTGAGAGTATCATATTTTCCCCAATGGACATTATTCTCAAAATAAGATAAATAATTAAAGTGTATAAAAATAATTCTTTGTTATTGGACTGGATTTTCTCCACATAGACCTTGAAATATAAAACCATGGATCTTTCTCTCTGTTACCAGTTCCTGGTTTAAGAATTTTTAATGACAAAGATGGAATAAAATATATATCAAATCAAAGTATAGGTGATTTAGGATTGTAATCCCTAAATGTTTGGTTTAACAACTTAAAAGAAAGCTTTCAAGGGCTGAGGAGGTGAATGTGAGCTTCTTCTAACTCCAAATAATGTCAGTCTCATAAAACAATGCTAAGGGAAAAACAAAAAGGACATTACTCATTACATTAAATTCAAGAAAAAATATGAAAAATTAGGCCCATTGCTTAAAGGTAGGTAAACTGGTGACTCATGGAAATGTGAAAAGGGAAAGCACCAATTTTGCTTTCATCTTCAACAAAAGAATAGTTATCAAAGCAGAAATGCACAACCAAGTGAATTAAAATAAAAATGAAGCAGAAGATAAGCCAAAAAGAAACTATTTAAAATTGTTAAGGGGTTAAAGGTTTAGAGAACAGGCCTGATGCAGTTGCTCACACCTGTAATCCCAGCACTTTGGGAGGCCGAGGCGGGTGGATCACGAGGTCAGGAGATCAAGACCATCCTGGCTAACACGGTGAAACCTGTCTCTACTAAAAATACAAACAAAAAAGAAAATTAGCCAGGCATGGTGGCGAGTGCCTGGAGTCCCAGCTACTAGGGAGGCTGAGGCAGGAGAATAGCGTGAACCCAGGAGGCAGAGCTTGCAGTGAGCAGAGATCGCACCACTGCACTCCAGCCTGGGTGACAGAGCGAGAATCTGTCTCAAAAAATAAAAATAAAAAAGTTAGAATATAGCCGGGCGCAGTGGCTCATGCCTGTAATCCCAGCACTTTGGGAGGCCAAGGCAGGCGTGTCACTTGAGATCAGGAGTTCAAGACCAACCTGGCCAACATGGTGAAACCCCATCTCTACTAAAAATACAAAAATTAGCCAGGCATGGCAGCACATGCCTGTAATCTCAGCTACTTGGAAGGCTGAGGCAGGAGAATCACTTGAACCCAAAGGGGCAGCGGTTGCAGTGAGCTGAGATGGCGCCATTGTACTCCAGCCTAGATGACAGAACGAGACACCATCTCAAAAAAAAAAAAAAAAAAAGGTTTAGAAAACAGAAGTTACAAATGCAAATACTTATAAAGCCCTGATAAGAAATATAAATAAAAGAAATAACCGAGAAGTAAGTTAGTAGACGTTAAATGCAGTTCTGTTGATGAGTAGATAACCATCTCTCAGTTTCGTCTGGGTACCTGAAATGAAGAAATTCTGAAGAAATGAAGACCTGGATTAACCAAGTTTTCTGATTTTTCCAGAGAAAATAGACCTCCAGAGTTTAAAATGAGATATTTCATTTTGTTTATTTTGCTCTATTCTAATGTGAATCCTGGTACGATTTATATCCAGGATTTACTAATTATAAGACTTAAAAAGAATAAATTCTTTGTAACTAGAAACAACAAAGTCAGGATTATCTCTGGTGAGAAACAGAGGAAATAGAATCTGGGAAATAGGAGTATTCAACGACATCTGTAATAATCGATTTACTAGGAAAAATGTTTGAATCAGACATGGGAAAATGTTAAGATTTGATAAAACTATAGACTACGTTGATATTCATTATGTTTCCTCTATGTTGCTTTTTAGGGTTAAAATACTTCCTTATAATAAAAGTATGTGATTTATATCTCAAAGTTTCTATACATAGATAAGTTTCTATGTATAGATCTATACATAGAAATACAAAGTTTTTCTATAAAAAGTTTCTACACATAAATCTATCTATACATAGATATAGATGTACATATATTCATGATACAGAGATGTGGGTGATATAAAAAGCATAGATAAAAGTGGTAATTTGAAATAGACTGTGACTTTGTGTTCTACCTTTTCTAGAGATGTTCAAATTCCTAGGCAAGAATATAACCTAGAGAGAGATGCACTAATGTTCAAAGGCATTCTTACAGAGGAGGAAAGTGCACATGAATTTATTTTGTTGTTGTTGAAAAGGCTTCCTATCAGCACTGGAGATATCTGGAAACTCTAGAAATTTGAATATGAATCATGCAAGAATTTGGGGTACCTGAATATAAAAAATAGTTGCCATGTTTATGTGCTACTCGTATAAGGTTAAACGCTTTGCCTTTTCTGTCTTTATACTCTGTACAAATGGTGCCTTGGACATAACAATTGATCCACATATGTTCACGGAATTAGATGAAACAGGGTTTTAAGTTATTACCATATTATAAAAATAACAAAAGCCATAATTTGTTCAGCAAGTACTATGTGTTGAGCACTGTGCTAATTACCTTATATGCATTATCACTAATGCACAAAGGAAAATTGCATGGTAGGTATTGTTACCCCCAGTTTACAGGTAAAGAAAGCAGATAATTTGTTCACTCATCAATTCTTTATTGAGTACCAATTCTGCGCCAAGCACTGTTCCCAGCAATAGGGGTCCAGTTGTAAATAATAAAGACTGAAATGCCTCACTTTAAAAAGCTTGTACTCCTCTGGGGATGACATGCTAACAGGCCAATAAACAAGCACGTGTATAGTATTGCAGATGAAAATGATGATAAATACAAAGGGAAAAACAAAGCAGGGAAGGACAATGGGCTGATGAGGTTTTAAATGAGCGTTTCAAATGGGCCGGTCAGGGAAATTTCCTTGGTAAGGTGGCATTTGGACAAAGATGTGAAGCAGGGGAGAGGGTGAGCTATGTGACCATTTATGGGAAAAGTCTCCTGAACAGGGGACAGCAAGTAAATGCCCCGAAGCAGGAATATACTTGGTGTGTTTAGGAACAGCAAGCATGACAGTATGTTTGGATTGGACAAAATGAGGGAAAGAAAAGAGATGAGACGAGAGAAGAGCTAGAATTCCAGATCGCAGTGCCTTACAGATGAATCTGAGTGCATTGGCTTTTATTTTGCATTGGATGGAAAAACGGGAAGGTTTTGAGCAGAATGATATGATCTCACATAAGGGTTAAAAGAACTATGTGGGCTGCTACATTGAGAAAAGACTAAAGAAATGGAAGGAACCCAGAAATCCCTATTTTGTAGGTTGAGAAACCACTACATGAGCATGGCCTGTGACTAGACTGGTCTAATCAGAGCAGAGAAGCATGTTCATTTACTCACCAAATATTTTTTGAGCCTTAACTCTATTCTATATGTGTATATAACAATGGGCATGCAATGGTGAATACAAACACATTTCTGTTCCTCAAAGTACCTGGTCTGGTCTAGTGAACAATTCTGAGAAATAGCAGAATAAAGATGGAAAAAATAAAAACGTCTAAAATGATATTACAAGTTTAAAAGAACACTGGCTGCCAAAGTCTTGCTTTTTACAGCTCTGATGGAAATGGATAAACATTTTTTAAATTACCTTTGATCAGTTGACTGTAACAGAGCAGCATAGGTGCCCCAAAGTATAGCAGGCAAAGCTCAGATTTACCACAACTTTTTACACTGACTCCACAAACTAGTTGTACATTGAAGAAAATATAACTATTCACCCAAACACAAGGGAATGTTTTTCCACATTAGCCACGGTGATGGCACACATCCGCATACTCATCAGCTTCTCCCTTTAGATAGCCAAGATAATGCTTCAATTCTTAGAACACAAAATGGTAGCCAACTGCACAGAACAAATTTGACGACCCATCAGTCAGCCCTTCTTCAACTATAAGATCCTGGTTTTGTTCAAATATCAAACGGCCAGTGTATTAGTTCGTTTTCACACTGCTATAAAGAACTACCTGAGATTGGGTAATTTATTTTAAAAAAGGGGTTTAA